CTTTGACAGATTCATAACTGTTCTGACATGTTGGCTCTTCAATTCTATCGACCGAGATGCTACGAAATCTTTCATCGTGTTCCACATTTTTCATTCCACTGATACTGAATGGAGAGCTTTTTCATCAAGAGAAAAGAAAATCAATGGTCATTTTATCGGATCATTTGTTGTGACTGACGTCAATTCCTCGGTTAGAAATCAAAATGGTAAAGAGAACACTATTACCGAATTTAGCGATCCAGATATTGAAGACTTTTAGCCAGTTGTAGTCACATAGAATGGTCGCACAATGAAACGACGATATACACTCAAATAGTATTTACACTCGTTTTATCGTGCTGTCGCCACTAATGGTACTGTTGTACTTTTGATGGCTCATATATTTTTAACTGTTTCGGACTGTTGATCATTGCTTCAATTATCTATGAGTATCACAGTAATAAATCTATCTGTCTGCTCTGAACTGAACGATGTTTTAATTATTATACAGGTCAACAAATCAAAACACTTAATTAAACGCTTATTTGAGCACCTTTTGATTTTATTTCATTATTTTTACTTGCTGGTGCCATCATGTCTTGTCAACAGTCAGCTATAAATACTAGAGAATTATGTTAAAAATTTCTTTTTCTGGTTGCAGCATTGGATAAGAACGAAGACGCTTTTGGTAAATTGATTTGAGATGTTGTGAAATCAATTGATACTTAAATAAAATATTGCTTTTCAATCATTGGAATTACTTTTGAAAATCAATAATTTTATGAACTATAGAAGTCTAAGTATGCACAAATAAACAATGAAATCGAAATATTCGACATGAATAATAACTCCATGAAAATAACGTGTGATTGACATGATTTATTACTAGTACATCAATAGACTTTCGCGATAATCATGAACGTTTCGCCTTAAATATGGCTAAAAAAATATAAATTTATTCATTTTTACAGATATCAAGACAACATTTCGATTCCATTGAGAGTCGTTTTTTATGGCTGAAATTTTATCAATGATTACATCTTTCTATTTCCATTGTTAATAGGACACTATCGATCTGAAGTATAAACGCAATTTTTATTAAAACTGGTCTGTTGATGATTAAAATTCGTTTACAAATTCAAAATCGATCATGTGTATTAATTTCTTTATTCGAAGATTGTTTGTTTTGCTCCAAAAAAGCAAACAAGATTCGCTCATAATCCCATACGATTTGCTAACATCACTGGGAATCTTATAAATATCATAAATCTACCTTATTTATATTTAAAAGCTTCAATTAACTAAAATAATATATCAGAGCTATAGTTTGACTCTTCAAACTTGTTGAAGCATAGAAAACTTTTCCCTATACAATGTGTTTTATTTCAAATCAGGGTGTGAAAATGCATCTAGTTTGAACTACAGTAAGCTCCCTTGGTATTTACACTTTCGATCTAACATTATGTTTCTTTTACAAGCAATGTTTTTTATTTTTTCATATCAATAATGAATAGTCCTTGCTTACAAAAAAAATAACATAGAAGACTTCGAATACATGAATAATCGATATGCTCTTTGATTTATAGACCTGCGTGCTGTTTAATAGTTTTCATTCATATCTACAAAAAACACTGATAAAAGCTCTACATGAAGACGATAAGTATTGTGATTGAAAGTAATAACGTCGTTGCTATCAAAAAATCAACGAAGAGTAACAGTTGCAAGACTATGCATTGCAACAGAAAATCCTGTCGTGACATTAGCACTGTAAGTTGTGATAATCAAAAAATATTTAGTGTGACTATGGAACGTATAAGCCATATAGAATTTTTGATGATTATCACAGTCATCATCACATGTAAGTAGATTGGTAGACGAGTTTGCAATATTGAAATACTTTACATACAAATAGCTATATATCTCAAGCGTACTATTGCTTTTCCCAGTCTAAAAATCACTGATATTCATATTTATTTGAATGCTTGATAATAATACATCTTCCCGCGTTGTCTCCCATTTGAGAAAACGTTGTGCTATTATATGTCAATGTATTCGGATACATCATAGTTATGCCACGAAAAATAATTGATGGATACGGCGAATGCATTGTATACCCCACTAGAAATATGTTAGAACCAGTTACGACTGCAAACATTCTGAGTCAATAGACAAATCTCTTTTCTTTTCAGAGCTCTTCTATTTTTCAGCTATTGTTTGCTTTCTGAAATGTATCTCATTATTCAAAGAGACTTTGGGCAGCAGAACTATTCACAATAGTTTTATCATTTAGTGAATGGTTCAGTTGTACTGAAATGTTCAGTACTGACTGTTTCTAGCAAGAAAAGCTTTTGATGAACGCATTAGCATGATATGTCAAACTAGTTTCATTTTCTAACTTACTCATGACCTATCTATAATCTCTAAAAGAATCATTATAACTTTTTTACCAGAAAAGATACAAAGCTACGAATACTTTCAAATTGAAGTCTATATCCGTGCATCAATTTTAGTCGAACAGAGTTTTGAAACTTATTTCCATTTATTTTTACAATTATTTTAGTGTATAAATGCTTAAATAAACAAAATAATACGCTTTCGCGATATTAACGCGTGAATCCTAATAAACTGCACTAAATTTTTTCGCACTTGTTTTCATTTACTTCCTGTTCATCAAAAATACTTATTTACACATCAAAATATAGAGAAATTCAAACTCTACAAAGTTGTTAATATTGTATTTCAACTAAGTTTTCTTAGTGGGTGCCTAGTTAAAAAGATTCATATCAGCCAAACTTTTTAACTACAATGGGTGTGGGTGGGTGGAAGAAATACTAACATCCAAACTCACACCCTTATAATTCTTTAGTAAAGCTCAGTGTTTTCTTCCGGTTAATAATTTACATATGCAAATTTTAAAAAGCGAAGTACACTGACATTTGTTGTATATTTACACAAATGTCATAGGACAATACACATAGTAAACACACAGCGGTGACCTAAAAAATTGAACAGAAGGTCGAAGATCAATATCATACAATATATATATGCACGATAAATAGAAAAGGATAATTCTTATGCCTTCAGAAGCTATGCAGTTCAGAATAAGGCTTCGAGTCTTGGTCTCTATTCATAACTACTGCTGAGCTACGTGAAACATTATCAGATAATGTGTCAAGATAAAGACATTTTTTCTTCATACTTTTCTATCCTGAGCAGTGTAGAGGACATCAGCCAACTTATACTAGCGTTTTTTCTCTTATCTCCACCATTATAAACCAATCTTTGTCCTGTAAGAGTTTAGAAGCTAACTCAACATCAGAATATTTCGATATTGTATACAGAGTACGTAAATTCTCTCATTTTAAAACAAATACTGACCAGTAATTCTTGTTCTATAGTGCTTGTCAATGCTTTTTCACCATTTCATGGTTGACAAGCGACATGGAACACTACTCTTGTCTTTAATGAGCAGGGTATATCTTGTTTCCGTCAATACTAGCCCCCTCACTCACTCACACTCTCTACAAAAAATGAATCGAGGTCAAACGCATTGTAAATCATTGCGACAATGAGATAGAGCATCTGAGCAGTTCTGTCATCTATCGTATTTTGAGGCAGGAAAAAAAATTAAGCAATTATACGTTAAATTGGACAATAACAGGCGAATCGCAGATGATCACATTTCGTCATTTTTGTCACTTTTTTTGTTCTATTCATTCTTATTGATGTGCCATGTCTAACGCACCAAAAACCGTAGTGAGCAGCGACGAAACGAATGCTTTTTTTCTCTTTATCAAATAGTGCTCACATGGCTTTGCGTTCTGTTCGACCGAAATATCAAAGAAGAAACACGCACATTTGTGAAAGCGTGTTGTTGTTTCAAATTACTGAGACTGCTTCACTTCATCTAATAGTTCCAATCGTTGACGGCAACAATAACAACACCACACATTTTTTACATGACCATGCATTAAGGTTTGCCTATTTCGCTCGTTTCAATCTATTACTCGATGATTCGTCAGAACGCGATAAAGATTCTTAGTTCGAATGTATACTATTTTTCTTTCTAAGAGTCTATCGTCAGGCACCTATTCTTTTTTGATGGTCCAAATCAATTGATGAATACAGGTCAACGATCAGTTATTTCGAAAGACCAATCGAATGGTTTAGGTCTTCTAAAAAAATTGAACATATTTGTGAGAACGGTACTATACTTTTTGCCATGTACTTTTGATCCATTTGAGTATTACTACCGATTGTGATTACAGGTATCATTTCGAATATCTTCGTTTGTGTCGTCTTCGTGCGTTGTTCAGTGTGATGTTTGATCTTGCTGACATCTTATTTGGCGTTGAACTGTTTCGATCTTCTCAGTCTAACTTCTTTTCATTTTGCCCATCTCTTCTGAATCCTGATGACCCAATTCAGAGTTTCGTTCTCATCCTGAAAAATATGTAGCACCTTTTCGTCTCCTTCTTTAGCGAATTCTCGTAGGCCATATCGCTACTCACTATCAGCGAACCTTTTTTACATCAACCATCAGTTGTTTTTTTCCAGAATTCATGTGAGAAAGTGTTTTCTAATATTGGAAATGATCATAATTATTTTCATCATTTCGATCGCATTCAATTTTCTTATCTTTATTAGTGATTCTCGACCTTGTGAAGCATTGAATACAATCAAAGCTAGTATGGATGTGGGTGAACTAGTGGCAGAATCACCTGGGGAGCTAGAGGAGCTGTGCTCCTCCTATGAAATTTTACATCCATTGAGGCTGTTACGCTTTCATCACTAAAATGGCAGACTTTAGACAATGCATATGGAGCTCAGCTCCCGCTAGACCGAAATCCTGGTTTCGCCACTAGGGTGAACAATAAAGTAATATCGACCTCCTAACCTTTTCGATCATTTTGATGGGAAATTTCTTTTTAGAATCGTGGAACATGTATAGATGTTGCGAATGAGATATGTTGACATCTAACTAACTGTTGATCTTAGTGATAAGACTGTTTGCATTCTAGATGAATACATCTGATATTTCATCAATCATTATTCGTAGTTATCAGTCATCGGATTTATCTGCATGCAAAGCTACGATATTAGATGGACATAAGGGGTATGGTAATGACATAAGATATTTCAATCAGGCCTTTGAAACGGATATGGCAGATATTGAAAGCAATTATCTTCAAGTACCGAATGCTCACTGGTGGGTTGCTGTATCGACGGATGACAATCGTATTGTAGGTCAAGTAGCTGTCCAGCCGCTGCGTCTTGGAGATCGGATTTACTATGAGCAAGCACCATCAAAAGAAAGAGATGAAATTTGTGAGTTGCGGCGAATGAGTGTGGCTCCCGATTCTCAAAGACATGGCATCGGTTCTCGTTTATTAACAATTTTATTGGACTTTGCTCGAGAGCACGGTTATCGGAAAGTACATCTAACTACATTAACCAGCATGAACAAAGCTTGTGCATTCTATGAAAAACATGGCTTTGTGAAAGGTGACATCGTTCGCATTTCATTTGATGAGACAACCGTTGAAAAAGTTATGCAATGCAAAGAACATCTCTTAAAAATCTTTTCAAACGCAGTTATTTTCAAACATGGAGATGCCATACCTGAAGAAGACCAACAACGTATGAAATTACCACTAAGCATATCAAAATATGCCTATGTGCAACATTACTTTCTTGCATTGTAACGAGAGTGATAGCTGGCATTCATTATTTCTGATTTCTATTTGTATTTAGAATGAATAGAAATAATTATTCAATAAAGTGATTCGCTTTGATAATCAAACTAATGAGAATTTTGTAAGGAGTAAAGAGTAGTAGAGTATCATCAATGTAACATTGATGCTTCGTATGGTATTCGGATAGACTCTTTTGCCAGCGTTCATCTCTCTCAAGAAAACTGCCTTGTCAACTTCTAATCTGTGACTAATCATCTTTAGTATACAAGTTCAAGGTTCATCAAAAACTTCACATTCTGTCCTTAATATGTAGAACTACGAGATAAACGTGAAGTCGAGAGATGCAGAACCTACTTATCGGTTGTAGCGGCGGTGATGATACAGGTCGGTCATTAGTGTAAAATTGAGGTGACCTAGCTGATACAGATTGAAAACCTCTGGAACGACGAGTATCGATAAGGCCGTTTTTCTGCTGACAATATTTGAAAAAAACCTATTGGTACAATCTTTACGGGATTCAAATGTGAAACCCGATGCAGCTGTTGTTGCTAAACATGCGAATATTGTTTTATTCAGTCTATCTTGGGACGCATTTTTCCAGTATCTTTTACTTAATTCTCTAGAACTGCAATAAGGAACCAGCTTGCGGGTGTGGATGTGGGTGTGGGCGTGGAAGAAAGAGAGACCCACACCCTCAACGGAGCAAAAATCAAAGTGTTACGGACCACATTTTTCATTTATTTCCCTCAGCAATTTTGATTTGTTGTTTAGCTGAACAACTGAACACAAAGGTGAAGAAAATCAACAATCGAAAAAATAATTCGACAAACCAATCATGATCTTCACTTCTTCTACAGTTGACCGAGAATGAATTCGAAAGATTTCCAAGATAGCGTCGTCAGAAGTTGTGTACCGATGAATATGAA